AATTCATTGGAGTTAAAAAGAAGGGTACAGTTGTTATCTTTAGTAAAACGGTAAACAGATAGTAAATGGGATTTGAGGTCAGGGACATGGAGGAGATTACCAAGGTGAAAGATGCCAGAGGCGGTTGGAATTTTACCTGAGCCAACATGAGCAATGGGTAGAGGGTGACCACCTGCACTAGTCACAGAATTGGTGCCCGAGTATGGTGCATATGAATAGAGACGAGATAAATCAGGAGTGACATGGGCATTAGCACCTGTATCCAAAAACCAGTTGTCATTGGAGGTAGCGGATTGTGACGCATAAAACGCTTGAGGTGATGGCGGTGGCGGGCCACTGTACTCCGAATCAAAACGATGCCAACAATCCCATGCTGCGTGATTATATTTGCCACAAAATAACATCTTGCTCCGGGACTCCTGCTTTCGAACGATCCAGTGCTGCCACGAGCTTTACAACGGAATCAAGATATGTTTGCATCGAATCATCACCTTTTTTGACATTATGAAGTTTTCCTTCAATTGAAAAATATGTGTTCGATGTTAGAATAGGTGCCCTTCACTAGAGGGGGGTGAATAGTGAGGAACGAGAATGTTTATAAATTTTCGCGGAATAAAAATCGCAGGGATAAAGTAAAGAGTAGAATAAAAAGGAGTAAAGGGATCACACCAAGATTTATACTGGTTCACCACAACGTGTGGCTAGTCCAGTCTCCCGAGAGACTCTCTCGAGCTACACTACTTCCGTTAAGCTTACGGGTGCTTAACAAACCGTTACAACCTGAGAACTCGAGTCCCACGAGCCTCAATACACTTGCTCGGAGATACCGCACTCCAAGACTTCAACCCGAAGGAATATGCCCTTCCTTCGTACAACCAAGGGAACAAACCTCCCTTAAAGTGTTCACAACACTTAAACACTCAAGAACAAAAACTCTCTTAAAGAGTAGAATATGAGTAAACTAATTTAGATCAAGAACACACTCAATTCCTCAAGAAATGGCTCTAAAAAGCTATGTANATGGAATGATGCAATGTAAAGCTATGAAATGTGTGAGGAATGGATATCAAAAGTAGACCCAAGAGACCCCTTTTTATACCCAAAAACAAGGTGCAACGGTTGGGAGAAGATTGGAGTTGATTGGCTTGATTTGTGGAAATCAAATAAAAGTGGATCTACTGAAATCTAGCCCGACAGCGCTGTTCATATAGTGAACATCGCTGTTCTGGCTTTGACTTTCCTTTAAAAATGGCTAACGGTCATCAAAACATCGATGTCTAGAAGTCTACATCGCTGTTGGGGTGTTTGACTTTCAAAAATGGAAAGATTTTGTCTTAAATAGCCCAACGGTCATTTGAAAACATCGCTGTTCAACAATGAACATCGCTGTTCAAAAACTTACTGCCCAGGGCTTCTGAATGCCAACATCGCTGTTGGATTTCCGACATGCATGTTGGGATGGTTTGCCAGAACCATGGTTTGGCAGCCAACGCCAAAAACCGATGTCAAAAACCAAAGTTCTCCAAAATGAAAACCAAGTTTATGCCGTTTCACATGGTTTTCACCAAAAGACCAAAAACAAAAGGTGGTTTTTAAAATGTTTTTGTTGGAGAACCATTTGGATATGTCCAGAAGTAAAAACCAATCATAAAATATTAAAAACCACTTGGTTGGTTCGGACACCAAAAACCAACGTCGATAACCAGCGCCGAATGCCGATAACCAACACCGAAAAAGCAAAGGTTATGGTTTTTGAAAACTAATGATTTTGAAAACCTTTTAATGTGTCCAGAATCTTAAACCAAGGATAAAAACCCAAAAACCATTTGGTTAAAATCAATGCCAATAAGCAATGCCGAAAACCGAACGCCATAGCCGAACACCGATAACTGATGGTTATGGTTTTGGTTAAGCAAGAACCATGGGTTTTAGAAACTTAAAAACCATTTATGAAAACACTCATTTGATGCATGAAAAACATATTTTGTTTTGAGCCATGACATAGAGAAATTGAATGAGCTTGTTACAATAAAAACCTAAGTATTTAGAATACGTCTTCAAAGCGCCAATGTCGCCATCTTTAGCAGCGTCAATGCCTTTCTTGTGCTTTTTGTTTCTTCAAAGAACTTTTTCTATCTCTTTGAATCTTTTCATTTTGTTCCATGTTCCCGACGGTTTGTCAATATCAAAACCTAAACGGAAACAAACATTGTCCTTAGCAAAATGTCAAAGTGAAAATGTTTTCCAACATTCGAGAAAGAGAATTATATCGAAGTTGAAGGTGATTCCATATAGCCGCGACAGTGTCCAGGCCATGAAGATGATTTTGAACAGACGGAGTAACAATTGCGAGTAAACATGCACATAATTGAGCGTTAATCACAGACCAAACCTCAAACTCTGGATTTGGAACGACTGTGGCTGTGGTATCTTTGTCCGCTGCAAGTGTGATGGTGGCAGGAGGAGCTGCAATCGTGCCGTCTACATAACCCATCAGCCGATGTGCGGAGAGGTTAGCCGACGTAGTAGCAATCCAAGAAGGAAAATTGTTATCATCAAGCTTTTCCGGAGAGAGAGAATGAAGATTTTTTATGAAAAGTTACAGCCCTGTGGGAAGAGCATCAAGAGGATCAACGTTTTTTGCCATGGTGATAGGGGTACCGTCGACGATCGACCAAGAAGGAAACTGCCGATCGTCTGATACGGCAGAGTAAGGAATAAGACGGCTAGGGTTTTGTTTTTTGACGTATGTGAAGCCTCAGCTTTGATACCATGATGGAATAACAATATGACTCAAGTGAATACGTATAGTTTGGAATAATATATATAGAGATATCACATACCATGGGCTAGATAAGTATACAGAGGCCCAGTAACATATATTAATTATATAGTCTATCTAACAAAAAGATTTCTTATTTCTTTTTTGAAACTTCTCCTTCAATTCTCCCTCTTCAATTTCTCAATATTCTCTGGAGCTCGAAGGTGCTCGAAATCTTTCCTTACCCTATTACGATACTGTATGAGACATCCCAAATTCTCCCTCTTCTTTTTGTATAAAACTCTTTTTTAGATGTTACATTATTTTTTCATTTCCTATTTTCCTATTTTTATTTTTTATTTTTTTGAACTTACCAAAAACATTATTCTAGAAAACAAAAGGTTAAAATGTTTAATATGAGAAAGATGGAGTATCTGTTAATTTTATATTTTTATTTTTATTTCAAACACAAAGAGTTTAAAATTTTTAAAAAAAACATAAAAAATTTAAAAGAAATTTAAAAAACAAACCTCTCTAGAAAAAGGAAACAAAGAGATAAATGCGTAAAAGTTAAAAGAAATTTTAAAAAAATTATTAAACCACTACAATGGACAAGAAAAAAATCATCAAAGTAAATGCGTAAGAAAAATAAATTAAGATAAAAATGGAATTCATCTTAAATTTGTCTATGGCTGATATGTCATATAATCTAAATTTATATGTGCAGCTAGTGTTATTTATATATTCGTGAAATGTACATTTATAAATTATACAATGCTCAAGTCACAGATTTAGTTTTTCTACATTCTTTGAGCATGCACTTACATAATAAACGCAGCGCATTTTGACAATGTTAATTTCATTGTTAAACAAACTTTGTTCTGTTGCATTTTCAAAACAAAACTTGTTTTGTTGCTAAACAAGCAAAAAAAGAGTTATCGCACCAAAAAAAAACTTGTTTTGTTGCTCACGCAAAAGTGAATGTGTACTAAATACGGAGTAGAAATAAAACAGAAATCACTTCCCAATGTAGGACTTAAAAATTTTTTATTTTCTAAATAGTACTTAATAATGTCTAGTGAGGGTAGACATTTACTTGAATAATGATTAAATTAATGAATAATAACCAATGATCCTACATTAGGAAATAAAAACATATGATCTTATATTGAGAATGTCATTATGTTTTAGTCCTATTTGGATAAAGTCCCCCACGGAAAATGCATCATACGTTATTATAAAAATTATAAATTATAATTGTAAATATATACTACGGTACTTCTTATATCCCAAAAAAATACTTGCAGTTCATATTCATAGGTCAAACTAACTCCACTTTCTTTATACATTTTTAACGATCATTTGATAAAATAAAATAAGATTGTCATCACTTATTTTGTAGAACTTTTCAAGTAGTTTTTTAGTATCTAATTTCTATTTTGTAATTCTACACCAGTTTTTACTTACATTGATTTTAAAATAGTTTCAGTTATACATCGTAAACCGAACATGAATCTTATTTTAGAACGGAGGGAGTATTAGTTTATAAAAATGAATAAAATCAGCTGCATACAATTATAATAAAGTACTCCCTCAGTCCCAAAATAACATTTCTATTTTCATTTTTAATCTGTCCCAAAAAGCACTTTCAATAAAAATCTCTGTTTTGCTCATACTATCTATTAGTCTATTTAACACATCATATTTATTCAATATTGATCTCTATTTATCACATCCTTACCCTATCATATTATAAATAATTACTCCCTCCGTCCTAAAACTTTCTTCCCAGAGCACTATTCCAACTTCACGGAAATTTATATTTATTAGTGTTTTTTCATGGCCTATATGATAAAATAAAATATTCTTGTCACCACTTGTTTTGTTGAACTTTTGATATAGTTTTTAAATATGCATGTTTTATTTTTTATTTCTATACCAATATTTAAATAAAATAGATTGAAAAAACTTGGGATTTTTCTTAAGAAAACCTATTAAATAGGAGTAAATCATGAGACATATCTTCAAAATAGGAGTCTCTAACTTATTGATGGACAATAAATCCACCAAATGATCCGATTCAGTGAACGGATCGTAAGAACACAATTAAGAATGAGAATTCGAGAATTGGGTATGTATTATTAGCTTGATTTAGCTTGAGTTCTTCCCTTTCGGGTCTCCTCTATTTATACATGAGCTTTAGACAATTAAGGTAACGCATAATCGATGGAGTCTATCCCAACAATGGCGCGATCCTCTTTTTCCGGCTCCGTAACCGCCAATCTGCTCCGTCTTATCCTCCGAATTAACTCTGTCAACTGCCCTTGGCCTGAAGTTAACCGGGCCTAGCTCCATGGGCCGGCCCAAACCTGGGTATTTTCCAAGCGCTTGGTCCGAAGTTGTGTAAATGATTCATTTGGGCCACCCACTGGGTATCGGCCTATCATAAGCCCCCCAACTCCTCAATCCTCGACTGGGCCATGTGGAGGAATGGGGAGTTTGCAAAGTCCACGTGGGCGCTCCAGCGTGGATCCGGGCCGTTCCTTGGGTTCCGCTTGACATTTGGGCACGATCTCCACGAATAGGTAATCATGACCTGCCGATTCGCCTCCCCACTGTCAGTTAAAAACCGCTGCTGGACGCCATCTCTTTCTTTTGCCTTCTTCATCATCATTCGTCTGCAATTCCGCTGCTTACCCGACCCGTTCTTCTTCCTTTCCAGGTCAGTTCCTTTTTTCACCGCCATGATTGTTTCAGATTTCGATTCGGCTACCCCATCGTCCAATTCTCTCCAAGCCAATCAATCGGCCTCTGGTCGTAACCCCGACCACACCCAATCCTCCAAGCCATCACCATCGGCCGTGTCGGGCCACAAACGGCGTCGATTGAGGAAGCAATTCCCTTCCTCGATCCCGGTAGATGAGGGCTCGAGGGTTGAATTGGACGAAAACATCATGGCGCTGTGCCATTGCAAGATTACTGACCGGGGGTTCGCCGATGCCACTGACATGGTTGGACCTTCCATTGAAGTCCTGAGACCTACCAGCACCCAAACCGCCCTGGACGCACCTACAGGGTTCTTCACGGTCCATCTGGCATCTTTGAAGAAGGGGCTGCGCTTCCCACTCCACCCATTGTTGATCGAATTCCTCAACGTGGTGGACCTTCTTCCGTGTCAACTGGTCCCCAACTCTCACCGGTACATCGCCGGTTATCTGGTCCGGTGCAAGGATGTAGGGGTGAAGCCGACCTTGGACCATTTCTTATTTACTTTCAAGCTGACCAAGGGCCATATGGATTGGGCGTCCTATGCCAGCCTTTCCCAGAGGTCCAGTAAACTCTTTGCTAGTGACAAGAAGGGATCAACCAAAGACTGGAAGCCTTTCTTTGTCTTTGTTTCGACGGGGCCCGAATCTCCTTTCACAGGTTCTGGGCGCCCTTCTTTCCGTCGCATCCCGTGCCCCCCATCTGATGCCACCCTCTTGTCCATCACTCGCCAACTTTGCAACAAGGGAGTCATGAACATCAAAGAGGTGGTGACAGAGGAAACCCTTGCCGGGTTGGGGTTTGAGTTCGTCCAGGATGAGCTTCGTCACCGGCCCGACCTGCTAAGGGACACCCCCGGGGGTACCAGCCTGACCAGCTGAGGGACATTCCTGAAGAAGGTCTTGATTGTGGTCCTTTTGGTAATTGACCGTTTCTTTTGCCCGAGTGTCTAATTTATCTCTTTCCAAGGCTGACCATTAATCGTTTTCACTGTTTTCAGTCGAGTCGCCAGACCTAGAAGAAGAGATGGACAGTGATCTCCTGCTCAGTCGCTTCACAGCAGGGAAGAAGAGGAAGAGAGAAACGAGGGGCCAAAACAAACGCTCTTCATCTCACCAAAGGGAAAGTCTCCCCCGAGAACCGGCCGTAATTGTGGTGGAGGACCAAGATGATGCTACCCTGGAAACGGGTACAATGGCTGGCCGGTCCCCTCCACGCTCCGTGATGCCGGGTGGCGACCTCACTGGATCGTCCCAGGGTATTGCCTTGGAGAGACCTCCCTCACCGCCCGCAGTGACCTACGAGGTGGCGACCGGGGTTCGCTCGACGAGGCTCTGCATCCCTCCTCCGCCCCAAAGCCTAGGGGACGTGCAACTAAACCACTGATCACTCTGCCTGCAGAAGACCAAGCCCGTATCTCGGCAGGTTCTGAGGACGACCTTGACAACATGGTCCTCTTGAGGCTTAGTCAGGTACCTGTTTTGATCTCCTATGCACCATTCCTTCTCTTTATGCTCCTAACCCTCATACCTTTGCACAGGCCACGCTGGGGATGATTGAGGTGGTCGGCAGGAAACGAGGTCGCTAAGCTGCCTCGGACGAAGCGATGAAGGCAGCCAAGGCCAAGCAGGAGGAATTGCAGGAAGAGGTCGCTCGACTCACAAGGGAGCTGGAGGAGAAGGAAAATCACTGCGCGGCACTTGCTGCAGAGAAAGCCTCCCAGGAGAACCGCTGCGTCGCCCTTGAGGCTGACAAGGCCTCCTTGTCCTCTGAGGTGGAATCTGTCTCTGCTCGTGTGGTCGAGCTGGAAGGGGAGAAGTTTGACCTGATCCAGCAGCTGGAGAGGGAGAGGAGCGACCGGGCCCGCCACGCAGAGGAAGCGGTAGAATCCTTCAAGTCTTCTCCTGATTTCACGATGGTCGCGATGGAGCGGATGGACAAGTTAACAGCCGCTTGGCTCCAAACTAAAACTGGGGCTCAATGGATGGTCAAGGAAGGGACTAAGTCCTTCAATTGCGGACTCTTTCGCGCCCAACAAGTCTTCCGTGACAGACTAGCTCAGCTCCCCAAAGGATTTTCTCTTCCCGACCTTGGGTTCCCCCCTCCCTGTCGCTCCTTGGCCGAGTTTGACCCCAGTCCTTACTTGGACAGAGGGAGCTCGAGCGCCTCTGAAGGAGAAGAAGAAGAAGGAGAAGAAGATGGTCCAGGTGACCAGAATCCGGGGGCTAGCTTAGCCACATCCAAGGCTGGTGGAAACCCCAGCTCGAGCGCTTAACCTCCCTTGCTATTCTCTTTTTTGGCTTTGTTAGATACTTGTAATTTTTCCTTCGGAATGACTTGTCGTTTTGATACAATGTTCCCATGTTATTTGACTTGTTGGATTTATCATGTGCTTCCCTTTTCCAGCGTTTTACTCCCTTCTTTAGTTTAGCTGATTTGCATGTATGTTTTAGTTTGGGCCCAACTTCTGATCCCGGCCCAATTATCCGACCAGGCCCAATCTCAGGATTGGCCAGCGTGCCGCCCAATTGACCCAATGCCTCTCACAGTATCTGATTGGACCTTCGCGCGGCTCAAAGCTGCTTTATCGGTTCAGCTGCCTTGAGACTTGACCGTCTCTTCGATTCCTTCGCCTGGGCTTATTTATAAGCCCCCCTAGCCTTCATTTTGTTCCATCACCAGATATTTTCCTTTTCTCCATCTTTGTCATGTCTGAAGGAATTCCTGTTTCTCTGAATCTTTCCGACGGGCCGGCTCCTTCTTCGCCGGAGCCTGCCTCCTCCCCCAAGTCAGTCAGTTCCAATGACCGGGGGGGGGGCTAGACCCTTACGAGTTTTGTCGCCGGTTGCCTCGCCGGCGGTGGCCGTCGGTGAAACCGCCACCGATACCACCAAACCCTTATGAAGACTTCAGCGAGGCGTATAAGGCTCTCTCTGTCAACCGTCTGCCTAACGGACGGATTGACTGGGACGCCCCATGCCCCCTCCATTCACTGCAATGCATGGCCTAGGAGAGCTTCCAAGATGAGCACTTACCTCTCCTGGAGCATGAGTGCGCATATTACGCAAGTCTTGAGCGATGGACTAGCGAAAGTCGCACCAGTTCACCACTGAGGCCTAAGGATGAGGTTGTGTTGGGGGAAGAACCCGAATTGGGTTCTTCCCTACCCCGCCCCACTGGTCACTCACCTCCCCGGAAGGCCCCTAGGCGACCTGGAGTAGCTCGAGCGGCTTCAGGATCTCCATCCTCGTCTAGGTGATGCTGGTTGGGCGGTGGGTTTTTGCCGAGGCTGGGGGCGACCACTCCCGTTCCATGATGGGGAAGAAAGGTGGTCGTCCTGGACGGCCGGTGATCGGAGTTCTGCTGGCCTATACAGCTGCAGAACTACCCTTCAAACCTGCCTGTCCCCCCTGGACCCTTCGTCCTTCCTGGGCCTCAGCTGCTCACAAAGTTTTAGATTGTTCTTTTTCATTGTAAGAAATGTATGGGAAAGTATCCCTCCTTTTGAAGATATGTAGAGATTGTTCTCAACTGTATTGTAGCAGATGCAAGAGATTATCCTTGAGATGTAATAAACATTTTTATGAATGTATTTTGATGTTACCTGTTTACTTACAAGTTTCATCTTCTTCTCTTTCGCATCTCATTTTAAACGTTTAGGTTTCCTCAGACCTTAATTAGAGAATACCTCGCCTCTTTTGACTTAGCCATTTCCGGGTTATTTTATCCCCTGTGGCGTCGCCATACCTCCAAGATCCCCTGGTCGCTCATGCGATCAGCAGATCTTATGTTCCAGACTTAGCCGTTTTCTCAGGCTTTCTTGCCACGGCGTCGCCCTCTGGTTAGTCGCGTCACTTGACAGCCCTCAATCTTGGTCGCTTGACAGGGCTCGACACTTCACCCACTGTTGGGTATCTTAGCGATCTCTTTTGGTCGCTCCCTTTTTTTTTGAGAATTGAAGACAAGATATGCCAGAATGCTGGTTTTATTAAACTTCAAGAGAGAAATATGGCTGGAATACAATCTATTGATAAAATTTAATAAGGTTGGCGGCATTCCATACTCGCGGAACGTCGCCTCCGGCTGGTGTCTGCAATCTAAATGTCCCATCAGCCAACACCTCCTTTATGATATATGGCCCTTTGAAGCTTTTAGCAAACTTCCCTCCATCGGTCGGCCGACTGACCTCCCTTTTCCGAAGGACCCAGTCGCCCACCTTGAACGGCCTTGGTCGCACCCGCTGGTCGTGATATGACTTGACCTGCCGGCGGTAGTTTTCTGCCCGTATGTATTCCCTTTCCCTTCGCTCGCCAATGAGGTGCAGCTCTGCCCTCAAGTTTTCTTCATTCTCCTGGGCGTCAAACGTCTCCACTCTATAACTCAGCAACGAGGTCTCTGCTGGAGCCCTTGCTTCAAATCCATATGTGAGCGAGAAAGGAGTTTAACCTGTGGCCTTTCTCGGGGTAGTTCTGTAGGTCCACAAGATGTAGGGCAATTCCTCCACCCAGGCACTTTTGCATTCCATTATCTTCTTCTTGAGACCGTCCACGATGGTACGATTAGTGTTCTCGACCTGCCCATTGGTTTGGGGGTACCCGACCGCTGCATAGCTGTGTTTTATGCCCCAGCTCTGTAGAAACTCATTGAACCCTCTGGCCTCGAATTGGGTTCCATTGTCGGTGATGATCTGCTGGGGCACCCCAAATCGGCACAAGATTTGCTTGGACACGAACTTCCTCATCTGTTCTTCAGTGATGGTCGGCACGGGGGCGGCCTCGACCAACTTGGTAAAGTAGTCGATCGCGACCACCAGGTACGTGTTGTTCCCTGTCCCCCGAGGAAAAATGCCAACCAGATCAATGCCCCACCGGGCAAAGGGAATCGCCGTGCTGATCGGGGTGTAATTTGTCACCGGTCGCCTAGGCACCCTTTGGAATTCCTGGCAAACCTTGCATTTGCGCACGTACTCTGCGCAATCTCTGATAATCGTCGGCCAAAAATATCCTTGTAGGGTTACCTTCCTGGACATCGTGAAGGCTCCCTGATGTGCTGAGCATATCCCTTCATGGATTTCCTCCATTAACTTCTGTGCCTCGCCCGCTCTTAAGCACCTCAACAATGTACCATTGTACGATCGTTTGTACAGCCGACCGCACTCCAGCGTGTAGCTGGGTGCACGTTGCTTTATCACCTTTGCTGCGATTGGGTCGGTAGGTAGCGACCCATCAAGGATGTACATGGTAATCTCATCAATCCAATCCGGCTCCTCTTTGAGTGTGATGATCAGCACTTTTCCGGGACTGATGCTTGGCTCGAGCAGTTCTTCTTCCTAGGTCATTGCCTTAATATGATCTGGGGAATCCGGGCCAAGTTTTGACAAGATATCCGCCTCAGCGTTCTCTTCTCGAGGGACCTGCTCTATCCGGTACGCTCCAAACGCTTTAAGCAATTCCAGGGCGGTGTCTCTATACTTCTTCATCCGCTCATCCTTGGCCTCAAACTCTCTGGTGACATGGCCTACTATTAGTTTGGAATCGCATCGGACTTGGATTCGCTCAGCTTTTAATGAAGCTGCCAACCTCAAACCGCAAAGCAGTGCCTCATACTCAGCCTCATTGTTCGAGACTTTAAACCGGAATCTCACGGAGTAGTATTCCTTGAACCCTTCCGGTGATATCGCCACGACACCTCCCCCCGAAGCATCAGTCGCGGATGAGCTATCAGTGTACACAGTCCACCAATTCCCTTCGAGTTCTTCTCCACTGGACTCTACCTCTCTCGCAGTGCATTCTACTACGAAATCTGCTAATGCATGCCCCTTTATCGCCGGTCGTGGCTTAAACTCTATCTGAAAAGATCCCAGGAACACCCCCCACTTACTGACCCGTGACGGGGCATTTGGGCTTCAAAGAAGTGTTCCAATAGGAATTTGAGATAACACATGGACCGGATGGGCTTGAAAATATGGGGTGAGATTTTTCACCGTACATACCACCGCGAGGATGGTTTTTTCCATGTTTGTATATCTCAGTTTTGCCCCTCGCAGCACTCGAGCCACATAGTACACAGGTCGCTGTGCGCCCTCCTCCTCCCTCACAAGCACCGAGCTCACAGCTCGAGGAGAAATTCCTAAGTATAGGAATAGTCTCTCCGGGCTCTGGCTTCGAAAGCACCAGTGGGGAGAGGAGATATGCTTTCAACCCTTCAAAGGACCATTGACATTCTTCGGTCCAGACAAACCCTCTGCTCTTCTTAATGGCCTGAAAGAAAGGAGCCGCTCGATCAGCAATCTTAGACAAGAAGCGACTGAGAGCAGCAATCCTGCCAGTGAGCTGCTAGACTTCCTTCACATTTCGCGGAGGCTCCATCTCTAAAATCGCCTTTACCTTCTCCGGATTAGGCTCGATCCCTCTCCGGCTGACCATATGTCCTAGGAATTTGCCCCCCTAAACCCCAAATGTACACTTCTTGGGGTTAAGGCAAAGCTGGAACTTCTTCATGATCTTTAATACTCTCTCCAGGTCACCGGCATGAGACTCCATCCGCTTGGACTTGACGATCATGTCGTCCACATACGCTTCCATGCATTCCCCTAGCACTGGCGCGAACAGTTTGTTCACCATCCGTGCATAGGTCGCCCCATCATTCTTCAAACCAAAGGGCATCACCTTGTAACAATACACCCCATTGGGGGTGATGAAAGCAGTCTTTTCTTCATCCGCCACAGCCATCTTGATCTGATGGTACCCACTAAATGCGTTCATGAAACTCATCAGCTCACACCCTACCGTCTCATCAACCAACTGATCAATGTTGGGGAGAGGGAAAGGATCCATCGGGCAGGCTTTATTTAGATCGGTGTAATCGACGCACATCCGCCAGATATTCCCTTTGGGTGCGAGGACTACATTCGCCAACCATTCCGGGTAGCGGACTTCTCGGATGTGCCCAATGGATTGTAGGGTTGTCACATGCTTGGTGACAAACTCTCTTCGTTCTGAAGAGAGGAAATGTTTCTTCTGCTTGACCGGCCTGTGGGTCGGGTCTACTGCCAATCTATGGCAGATGATTTTTGGGTCGACCCCCGGCATGTCCTCTGGACCCCACGCGAATAACACCTTGAACGTCTGGAGGACCTCCAATAACTGCTCCTTTAATCTAAGCGGTAGGGTTTTACCTACCTTCACCTTCCGCTCTGGCTTGATCGGGTCCAAAGAAAATTCTTCAACTTCTTCCGCCGGCTCAGCTCGAGGTCGCCCCTCTTCCTTCTGGATTGCGGCACAGATCGTGCTCACATTCTCGTCGACCCGTGCTTGGTTTTTGGTCGCCCTGACATAACATGATCGAGACAAACTTTGGTTCCCACTCGCCACTCTCACCCCTGTGGGGGTGTTGAACTTCAAGCACAAGTGGACGGGGGAGATTACGCACTCCAGGTCTTCCAACCCTGGTCGCCCTAGAATCAAATGGTGTGCACAGTCGAGCTGCACTACCATGAATTCCATGTCGATCCAAAGTCGGTAGGTGCCATCTCCTACCCCGGCCTTCACCGTGATAGTTCCTTCAGCTTCGATAGTATCTCCTGTGAACCCCGACAGGGGCGTATGGATTGGCTTCAGGTCGCTCCGAGACAACCCCAACTCTTTAAAGGTGTTGCGGTACATAATGTTGACCGAGCTGCCAGTATCAACCAAGGTACGGTGGACGACCACATTATTGATCTCCACCTTTATCACCAGTGCGTCTCTATGTGGGCTGAGGACTGGTGGATAATCCTCGTCTGTAAAGATCAGAGGTTCCTTCTTTTTCCGCTTAGGCAGCGGCGGCCTTTGTACCTCGGCTAGGTACACCATGTTCTTCCACTTCTTCTGGGAGGATACCGAATCTCCTCCAGTGTTTCCTCCCATGATGAACCGACACCCTAGGTGTCGGCGACCTTGCCTTTCTTCCTCATCCAAATCGTCACAATCTCTTCCTAGATGCCGTCGTCCATCCTCCTGCCCATCTCCTGCTGTGATCGCTGCTGTGGGGGCTGGCGGTCTCCTCCAGGTCCGGTTACTTGAGGACGGTCGCTCCGACCGAGGAGGCGGCCCCCTAGCGATCAACTAATCCATCTCCTTCTTCAGCGTAACGCACTCCGACGTGTTGTGGGTGCTGTTACGGTGGTACTCGCAGTATTTGGGTGCATCTTGCACACCATAGCTTTCCCGACTGTGGGGAGGGGGAGGCAAAGACTGTACCGCATGAACAGGATGTCTGTTCGCATGATACCCGGTGGAATTCGGCTCCTTACCGTGGTCCTTCCTCTTCTTTCCTTCTGCCACCGGTGGCCCGCTTTTCTTCTCCTTCTGGACTGGTGGCTCATCATCTTCTTCTTCCAACGTCAGGTACTTCGCTCTGGCAAACATCTCCTGATAGGTCGAGAGAGGATTCCGTCGCAGTTCCTTGCGCACATCCCCTTGGAGGAGTGCAGCTTGGAGCATGGCGATCAGGGCTTGGTCGTCCGCCCCTTGGACATCCCTAGCCTCCTTCTCCCACCTATTAATGAATTCCCGGAGCTGCTCTCCCTTCCGAATCTTCACATTGAGCAAGTGCGAGAAGGGGAGCTTTTGTCTCCGGCTGGATGCGAAATGCTCGAAGAACTTGTGGGCCAGGTCGCTCCACTTATCTATCGATTCCTTGGGTAACTTGTGGAACCACTCACAAGCCTGCCCTTCCAGTGCCGCCAGGAAGCACCGACACTTGATTTCTTCTGGGTACGCATACATGACCACGTTTGCCCCGAAGCGAGCAAGGTGATCCTGGGGGTCGGTCGTCCCATTGTATGCTTTGATCTGGGGAGTCTTGAAATTGTCTGGGAGAGGACAAGACATTATCCTTCTGGAGAAAGGTGTTACCTCACTGAAGACCGCCTGGCGGTAGGGGTTTTGGGCGTCCAGCCGCTTTTCCAATTGCTCGTACATTCTCCACAGCTCGGCTGCACCTTTGTCCTCGACCATCGTCCGTCGCTCCTCACAACCGATCTTGGAGGTCGCTGTGGACTCCCCTCTTTTCTCCTTGAGCGTGTCCCTCAAGTCACCTTTTCGGGCCGACCGAGTGTCTTGCAACCGTTCGAACGCAGAGGTCCGGGGTTTCTTTGACTTGGGATCTCCCAAACGGTCAAAAGCAGACATCCGCTCGAAGGAGGATGACTCGTCCTCTTCGTCCAGTCTGGAGAGCGCATCTGTCATCACAGCCTTCCCATTAGGCTTGGTCGCCTTCTTTTTCTGGGACCGCCTTACTTTCTTCTTTTTCCCTTGAGAGCCCGCAGGTCCAGCCTTCCCGCTTGCGGGTCCTCCAGCCACATCTTCCACCACAATCTCGCGATTGGGTGTAAGTGCCGCCAGTACCTCCTTGAATTGCTCGGCTGTGATTCCGACCTTCTAGATGAGGGCCTCAGCCTCCCCCGCGGTGATGGGGGGTGCCGGCCTCTAGTGGCGCTGTTTTCTCCCTGTTGGGGAGCTCCGGTACCTACGTTGGCATTACTGCGTGTTTGCACCATCGTCTTTATGGAGGATTTCCTCTGAGTAGGATTCCCAAACTCTCAATGAGAGCACCAATATGATGGACAATAAATCCACCAAATGATCCGATTCAGTGAACGGATCGTAAGAACAAAATTAAGAATGAGAATTTGAGAATTGGGTATGTATTATTAGCTTGATTTAGCTTGAGTTCTCCCCTTTTGGGTCTCCTCTATTTATACATGAGCTTTAGACAATTAAGGTAACGCATAATCGATGGAGTCTATCCCAACAATGGCGCGATCCTCTTATTCCGGCTCCGTAACCGCCAATCTGCTCCGTCTTATCCTCCGGATTAACTCTGTCAGCTGCCCTTGGCCTGAAGTTAACCGGGCCTAGCTCCATGGGCCGGCCCAAACCTGGGTATTTTCCAAGCGCTTGGTCCGAAGTTGTGTAAATGATTCATTTGGACCACCCACTTATATACCCAAAATAGGAGTAATTAATAAATTTCCCCACCCCTACCGCTCCCCTTCTTCTCCCAATCTTTAGCCTCCTTCCTTGTCATTCTTTCTTCCACTTTTATAGTCATTGCATCCCCCTATCGCCATCACGCCGCCTCTCCTACATCGCCGCCCCATCTTTCTGATCTTTGAGTCTTAGGTCTTCTTTCTTCTTCCTTATCTTTTTTTACAGATCCAATTCTAATCTTATTATTTCAATTTATTTGATAAAGGAAGACCGATACCACAATTTGTTCCTTCCACAAACGGTGCCTTTGCGAGATGACGGGCGTAGTTACGCAGAGTTTCTTTCGCCCCTGTCGACTCCTGCGGCTCCTGGGGTACGTCGGCGCTTGCGTCTAGGTTTTTAGCGCCCGTAGTTGCCAGCGGTATTTGGCATCCTAGCCCGGGCAGAGGTGGCTGTCCGGTAAAGGCTTTTTCCATCTTGCACTTCATCTGAGTGCCTTAACGACCGCGCCTGCGGTCAAAAGGCGCACGTATGCGTCCGCGGTAAAGGATGCCCGTCAGTGCTTGCGGATTGTGGATTTGAGCACCCATGGCGCACACGGAAAGTGCGTATGCGTGGTACCGTCATCAAATCGGTGCCCTCGTTGGGAGGCTGGGTGGGGCCCGACGAGGTTTCTTCCGCCTGCGTCAGTGCTTGCGCGTGAGGTTAAAGCAGCCGCTATCTGTCGGCGGTAATGGGCTAAGGGTTGGCCACTGACCTATAGTGGTACCTCTTCCTTCCTTCTCCATTTCTCTTGAGATTTCCTCTCTTCGATTCTCTTCATTTTTCATCTTCATCATTGTGGATTTTGGACTTTCTTGAGACTACTTGGATTTGGTTGGGTTGAGACTTCTAGTTGGGCCGTGGCATTGGCGGATGGGCTGCTCACCTTGGCGGATGGGACCGATGCACTTGGGCTGGTCGCTGATGGTTGGACGGCCTCGTGATGGGCTTGGGCTGATTAGGACGGGCGCTGGGCACGGGTTGGATGGCTGGTTTGGGCACCCTCAGGTCGGGCTTCAAATGCGGATTTGGGCTAGCACTCATGCCTTCCTTCATGGTTTGGGCTTTTCCAGTTTTGGGCTCTACCTGGCTCACTTGGATTATTTTTGCACATATTATTTTTTTCATTCTTTAGTTGGGCTTTTCTGGATTTTAGACTGGACTTATGTCGATTGCAGTTCTTGGCTTAGAACATTTTTTCTTGATCGGATTATCTGACCTTAGGCCTTACCCTTGCGGGGGCTGAGACTCCGGGAATGATTTTATTCCTAGATCTAAGTGGAATGTTTTGAGCCGGCTTTGTAATTGCACTTAAGTCTATGTTCAATATCCGATAAGCGCTTCACATTATAGTTCTTTGGTTGTTGCTTACTTTTATACAAGTGAGGAGCCTGTTCCCGCTTGTTCAGACGTTTGTATTCTTTAATTATTTAATAAAATCTTTTTTTTAAAAAAAATCCTTAAAAAAAAAGAATCCTACATTGAATGATAAATCTATATTTTTTTACTATCATTATCTTTATTGTTGTGCATTTTTCTTTGACAGAGTATCTAATTTAGAGGTTATTAAGTGTGGAATTGTCGCTCTTCATAAATTTTTGTGACTTTAACACAGACTTTAGAGTTTTAACATTGAAGAAGGTTCTACTTAGGTTGGATAATTAGAAAATTGGAAATACACATTGTGTTCAACTTTGGTCATAGATGTGCTTTGAAGTGGTCTTCTTTCCCATAGCACCTGTGTAATGACTTTTTTTAAAATCAAAACAAAAGCTAACTTTTATCTTTTCTTATCACAACATTTGTGTTGTGATGTGGCTTTTATAAAACCAAAATAGTCAGGTAATTTTAAATATTGTGTGGAGTAAATTATTAGCATTGTTGTTTTTAGATGGATGTTGTTGGCATTGTGGTATAAAAGTTGGCATTGTATGTTGGCAAATCGCAATACTTCTTGACACTTTATAGTATTTATCGCATTATATATTGACATATTTAATATTGTTCAGTGACATGTTTGTTATTGTACATTGCAATCTTTGGCATTGTTGCTTTGGTTGACATTGTATAGACAATTCTTTTTTACAGTTATTTGTGGCATTATGACACTTAGGCGGTGGGAATTGCAGATTTTGATGGTGTCGGCGGTGATGGAGCAGAGTTGGTGGTGTTGGTAGCGACGTGAAAAATCACCGTGAAGGGTAGATTGTTGTGTCGGGGCACAGCGGCGACGGGGTGCAACGACCCGATTTTTTGTTTTAGGGATGTACTCAGAAACTTATTTTTGTTTATTTTTCCTTTTTATTTTTCTCTTTATGTTGGCCAAAACATAGCCTTGCAAGAAAACACTTACTAATGAGTGTCTTTGATGTCTACCCGCAACAAAACAAGGAGAACGTAGGTCTGTAAGCTTTAGGAAATGAATTTAGTTTAACATGGAGCATTTAAATAACTCATATTTTGAGGAGTTTTCTTTCCTACTCCTATTTTGGAATATTATCTATGTTTTGCTCCTTAACCCATTTTTCTTCGTTTTGCGCAACTGGAAGAAGGATATAGGACTGAGGGAGTAATATATTTACCATATCATATCTATTAACTGCTAGTCATATACATCACATATCCTATCACATCACTGAATCTGCGGACGAAGACACAGATCAGAAAAGGACTGAATCTGCGGACGAAGACAGACTGTGGACGAAGACACAGATGAAGAGATGCAATCAAAATCTCCGGCGGACTGAAATTAAACAATCGGACAGGGCAACGACAGCCGATCGGAACGGGACAGGGACGGCCTATAGGAACGGACAAGTTAAGGAACATCCCAAGAAAGAAGCTCCCATACCATGTAGAAATTATTGGACGTGAAAACTTTTGTTTTCCATTGATTACAAAGAGTTTATATACATGGTAAATTACGTTAATTACACGGCCCAATGCATAGTAAACCTAGTATACACAAATAGACTATGCTAACATACTTCTTGCAATTGGCCTTCTAAGGATGTTGCTACAATGGAAACCAATAGTCCATCATCAAAGCATAAGGATGTTGCCGGCCCAAAATCGTTGAAAATAAAATTTGTTGCAAACCTATTTTCACAAAAACTGATTTGTTATCACTAAAAATATGATACTCCCTTCGTCTCAAAAAGTCAGTTACGTTTCGAAAAATTTGCGTCCCTTAAAGTCCTTTTCGTTTCTATTAAAAAATTACTTTTACCCATTATTTTTTCATACCTTACCTATCACATCATACTTTTCCCTAATAATCTACCCATCACATCAAATGATATTTTTGGAAAGACAACATCAAATATTTATCCCTCCTTATTTTACCATTTTAGTCAAAATGTCTCAATTTTTTTAGAGGGAGGGAGTATGTCATTTACAATAGGAAAACAAGAATCCATGTGAAAGTGAATGGCACAAAACTTCCCTTCTTTGAACCCCAGTCGTCAATGAGTAAGTATGACGTCATAATTTTAAATGTATGGATCCTGTTTGTTGTAATAACCCCAGTGATGATAAAAATAACCTAAATGAAATTAGTTACGGAGTATATATTGAAGTTGTATTTGAAATTATTGTTATTTGCTAAATTTAAAAGTGGAAACAAATAATGATGTACTCCCTCCGTCCCTGAGTGTTTGTCTACTTTCATTTTTGCACACCATTCAATGCACTTCTTTAATCCATTTTATCTTGTAATTTGTATATTAAAAAATTATAAAAATTATATATTAATAATCTATATGTTAAGACGAATCAAACAAGATCACACATGACTATTTTTAGGCTTACACATTGAGAGAATTTAATGGCTCAAAGTGCTTAGATGAACAGTTCCAAAAGTCAAAAGTGGACAAACACTTAGGGACGGACCAAGTATTATACATAGACTTGAACTATATTCATTGTATGTAAAAAAGAATTCAACACATATTACCATTCACTACACTCAGCAGTGAACCATCATAAAAAATTATCTCGAAATTAAATGGAACCATGTTCTTTGAAAAAATAGATAGAAACTATTCCAACAAACCAGACTCTTGGTAAAAAGGTTTTTTCCTTATTGTTTTATTTTCAAAACAGGGAACAAGAATTAATAGGAGAGTGAAAATGTCAAAAAATCATTCTTTGAACCTAGAATCAATGTAACTTAGAAGATTGTGGCATGTTGTCTAAATTTCATTCTTTTAACCCATTTTTGAGATGACTGAGATGTAAAAAGATAAAAGGTACTTCGTAATTTATAGAAATGTATCATAAATAATACTCCCAAAAAGCAATGCTACTCACATCTAAAAATTCTAAAATTTACTATATTTACTCTTTATTATAAGATGAAATTGTTTTGAAAGTTTTTTTGGCATTTGAGACGATATAAAAGTATTTTAAGAGATGCGCAAAAAATGAAACGTAACGATCTTTTTGGGACGGAGGGAGTATTACCTTCAATAATAATAAGGAAAACAATTTATTTTTTTAGCCCAAAATAACTGCAGAATGTGTGCTCCTACAATACTCACTTATATCAAAACTTCTTATATTAAGAGCATGGGCAATGGTAAGTAAGAAGTTGAATGCCACACGATAACGTAGAGTATTTTAGCCAATCAAAAGTAATCCAGTCACCGTGCGGTACATGAGTGGAGTGACATGTTTTGCAGTGGCAAGTCACTCCTTTATCATTTTTTACACATTTTTAATATATTTTAATTATTAAAAATTATTTTAATTACCTTTTTTAATAAAAATATTTGTAATATTTTTTTTGGCAATATTAACATTTTTGACATATTTTAATTAGTCCATGTGTGCTTTTTTTATTATAAATTATTGCATTTTCTAGTAAAGATTTTAATTGTACAAAGAGAAAATTAATTTTTTAAATTTTTAAATTAAATTATATAAAAATATTTTTTAATTTTTTTACTTATTTATTTTATCATAAAAATATTTTTACTTCTTTATAGGAAAATATTATTCATTAAAAAACCTAAAAAAAGAAAGAAAAAATGGTTCAAAACTCTATTTTGGAAGGAAGGAGAATTCAAAATTGGATGGACGGACAAGTACTAGATAACAAAGATGTTCAAACCTGTCCCAAGTTTAACAAAAAGAAAGAAAAAAATAGTGCAAAAGTGCCACGGACATGCCTCGCAAAGAGGGGTGGAACACTTCCTCCATGCCTTGCAAACAAGGGATACCATATGACGTGGCAGGCGTGGCATCAATTTGACTCGCTGCTGTACATGCTCTAATGATTCATTAATCCACCAACAAACATAAAAAGGTATAAAACTGGGAAACAAATAGAGTACATACATTCTTCTTTTCAGACATTAAGAATATTTTTTTTAAAAATAATTTATCAAAACAGATATGTACATTAGTTTCACTTTTTTAATTGAATTAAATTCCAATTCAGTTGTGAATATTAAAAATAGGTAGTAGTGTACATGAAGATATGAATCAACTAAAAATGATTTGGATTGTTTTTCCATTGTAAGAGCACTGGTAATACATGCAACGCCCCCCGGCGTGATGGGGCATTTAACGCCCCGAGGGCGTGAAACACCGCCCCCCGCCGGGCGTGATACGGCTTGATCGGGCCAGCGTCAAAGGAATGATGCTGCGTCATTCCATTTCCCTCCCCCCTAACGGCTATAAAGCCGTTGTACCCCATTTCAAAAAAAAATTCTTATAAATTCAAACCCCCCACCCAATCTCTCACACCTTCTCTTCAATCTCTTCTTCTTCCCATTTTAAAATTCGAAATTGTTAGTCGGTTTATTCGTTGTGCCCACGCCTTAGAAGGGGGTGAATAAGGCGTTTAAAAATTTTCTGGAGTTTAATAAAAAACAGTGTAGGCAAATGCGGAAGCAATATAAAAATGCAAAAGTAAAAGCGTAAAGTAATACGTGTGGCTAAAATATGACCAAGCCCTTGAGGGATGAGGTCATGGAATTCCGAGGAGGAATTCCTAAAAGTTAGGTGATCTTGCGGAACTGGCAGAGTTATGCTAGCAGTGCTCCCTTGGTCAGAAACCGTTTGTTTGGAAACGGTTATCCAAATGTGATCTAGCTGTTTACTTCACGCCTTGAAGTATCCAACTAGTTTGAGGATTTTCCAACGGCTATCCCCAACCGTACACCGAAGATTTTCAGGATGTCTTCAACCTAGAGATTTGCAACGGCTATCTCCAACCGTCTCAACAAGGATTTCACGGATGTCCTTCACCGCTTCCGGAGATTTCACCACGGCTATCTCCAACCGTCTCAATGAAGATTTTACAACGGATATCTTCAACGTATTACACGGATATGAGAATTTGAATGAATCAACACCACCTCAAGAATATAAGATTAGGTTGGTGTGATGATTTCTATACACTCTAACAATTACAACTCTCTTATAGATAGTATGAGTGTACATCTCTTTTGAATCAAGCTCAATGTGCAAGAAAATATATTGAAAAAATGGCTCTTTAATAGCCTAATAAAAATCAGAGATTTTTATGAACACAAGAAGAAAGAATTTAGAGATGGATTTTAGCAAGGCTTGATTGATTTTAAAACATTGAAATGGTTTGGGTATTTATAGGGATGGATTAGGAGTTGTTTAAAATTGAAAAATAGCTGTTAAAGAAGAATAATTAACTCCTAATACCATAATTAAAATAATCCAACCGTTGGGTGTGAAAAAGACAAGATATAAAGAATCTGGTCCCCGAACGGTCTATCACATCTACCGTTTTAGTCCGGACGGTCGACCGTTCGAGGTAACGTTCAAATTCCTCCAACGGTCAGTAGGACGGTCGACCGTTTTGGAGTAACGGTTCACCACATCGACCGTTCGTTACTGATGGCGCAATTTTAATATAAATTTGGTAAAATGTTAATAACTTTTTCAATACTAATCAGAATTGAGTAATTCAAGAAACAGTGATCTAGTATTGAGAAGAGTTATAACTTTAGTTAAATATTTTGAAAAAAATATTTTCCGAAAATATTTACCAAATATATTTTAAAAATAAATACCCAAGTAAAAATCTTTTTTGTGTGTGCAAATTTTAGCTTGACCTTAGATATATATCATTCAAATATCTTTAACAATAAATGACTCTAATCTATTCTATGCTAGTTCTGTGTGAGCGAACGTATTGACGCAATCAACGCGTTTTGGTGGATTTTGTTGTTCCTACACAATTAAACAATCGTTAGTATAATTAAATTATTTGTTAACATCAAAACATGAGATTAAACATACCAAGGCTAACAGAAATTACCCCCTCTCTATTCAATATGAATCCTTCTGGCTCCGGCTTCATTCCCGACGATCTCCCGCCGAGTGATGCCGCGATGTGGTTGTTCCAACAGTGGGGCGATCGACCGCCGATCTACGAGACGCAACAGTCGGGGTACGTCGACCGAGATTCGGTTCCGGAGACTCAACTGGAACCGTCCGAATCGAAAAAAAGTACACGCCGGAAAAGCCACAAAGCCAAAAGCACGTTGACCGAGGCGACACAGTCAATCCAAAAGTGGACGCTGGAGGAGGAGTGCATATTGGCGTCGGCTTGGGTTGACGTCTCCGAGAATCCTATCATTGGTAAAAAATTTATTTTTTCTAATATATTTATGTTTTTATTTTTATATATTATATTTAATGGTGTCTAAACAAATTGTGTAATACATTTTTAAAGGTACGGAGCAAACGAAGGATGCGATGTGGGATCGTATCGAGGAGAAGTTCTTCACGGCGATGAAGAAGAACGGCTCCTACCAAACCCAGGACCAACTCACTTCCAAATGGAGCCACATCAACAAAAAAAGTCCGAAAGTTTATCGGAGTTTACGAGGAATGCTCCCGGTCCCGGAGGAGCGGCACGAACGACGCCAATGTTCTCCGGCTTGCCACGACCCGGTATCAAGACGACGGGAACCAAGGCAAGGTGCCCATCGATCTTTGGAGGATTTTGAGTCGTTCCCCGAAGTGGCAACAACTCTACAATCCCGACGGCAGATCGATCCGAAAAAGATCCACCGTCGACGCCGAGGTTGAGGTCGACGAGACCATCGGTTCTACCGATCAAATCCCTTCCTTCAACGTTGCGGATTCCGATGACGAGGACCCCATTCCACGGCCGATCGGAAGAAAGAAGGCAAAATCCATTGCCTCTTGTTCGGGAGGGTCCGCCTCTGTTTCCGCTTCTCCCCGAGACGAAATTATGGGTAGGCATAAAATCCGTTCCTGTTGGACCATTCTGAAAAATCCCGGTTCCGTTTTGTAATCGTACCGATATATTGGGACACATTTTTTTTATCCCGAACCCGTTCCGTCCCAATATCAAATTGGACATGAGTGGGACAACTAAAATTTATACCGATCCGTCCCGTTTGTCTCGTTTCATCTACTCTACTAATATATAATACTAATTCTAGTCCAAAATTTAAATACACTCATTCTTTAATTAATTAGTTATTTAATTAAGTTAACTTCATAGACTTGAAATTAATTTATACCCATTCCACTCATTATTTTTTGTTGGATGACTACATGTTTCTTTTTTTGAATGAAATGTCACTCTCTCCCACTTCTTATATTTGCGATTTAGGACAAAATAGGACGATCCGAATCCGTGCCGTTTTATCCCGATCCCGAATTTAATGGGACAAATCGGGAAAAGGTTGTAATCCGAACCGTTCCGAACTGTTTATATACAACGGGACAAGACGTGGGGCAACCTAAAATCGGACCGTCCCGATTCGTGCCTACCCCTAGACGAAATCGATCGGCAGGACAATGGTTGAACAACTTCGGGCATTCAATCTCCAAGAACAAGAGAGGTTGAAGCTAAAGGAGAAGGAGTTGAAGATAAAGGAGTAGGAGGCCGAGATGAAAGTCATGCAAACCGACCCCGGGACATTGTTGGAGTTTGGACTAATGATCTACGAGCAAAGAATGATACGAGCAAATACTAATGTATTTTTTTATCATTCGTGTTTGAATTTAATTAAATAATAAATGAATTACATTTTAATTAATTAAATTTTAGAAGATGTATATTTAAAAAAGTAAAAAATGAAGGTTTGAAGCCCCAGTTTGAAGCCCCGGGGCTTCAAACCCATTTCCAGTGAATTTTGGGTGTATGTTAAAGCTGACGTGGCAGAGAGAGAAGATTTGAAACCCCGCTTTGAAGCCCCGGGGCTTCAAATCCATTACCAGTGCTCTAAGAATTTTCCTCACAATGTATTCAAAGAAAATCAGGACTGATATGTATTCTTACTGATATTTTTAGGGGTGTAAACAGATATTAATTGAATCGAATGTGTCATTACCAAATCAGTATCCGTTTATTTTTGTCGGATATCGAATTCGGATACGTATCTTGACGGATACTGAAAATTAAAACCGTATCTGCATCTGTCGGATATCAGTCGAATATCGGGTATATCCGTATCCGTTTTCTATTTTTAAAATCAAATTAAAGAATACTTTAATTTTCAATTAAATTAAAGTCAAATTATTATTAAACCAACAATAATTTATTATAAGATAATTATTTTCTTTGTTTTCATGATTTATGATATTCCACAATAAATTCATATGATATGACGAATACACTAATATTATAATTTCCGAGCACGAAGCTCTATCATAATCATTGAGCAAGTATAAAATTACAAGGTAGTTCTGGAATCATCAATTAGAAAAATCAGTATTCAAGGATGACTACATATCATCTTGATAAGATAAACAGTGACAAATTTGATCACAAAGTTCATCCAATCATTACAATGTGATAAAAATATATATTATTGTGATATAAGTGTGGTATATGTGTTAACTGTTACAATCAAGCTTTAATCAGCTTATTGACATTATGTTAGTCAGAACAACTCTATTAAGAATCGCTAATGAGAGTTCAAATTTCGAAACTATAATTACGTATTCATCTAAGAAACTTAAAATGATGACTGTGGTAATAGTCATTCCTCAAAATACCATTATGTAAAAAAACGTCAAACTTGAAAATAATTCGTATCGGCTAGTAAACCATGAAGTGTAATTTGTGAAACAAACATTTCAGACAAAGTCGTCTGAGAGTGATTCTAGAAGAAATTCAAAAAAAAAAATTAATTAAATTTTCCCACATTCAAGAAACGCAAACTATACTCCTACAACACAACAAGAGCAAGTTTAAGAGTATATTTGACGCAAGTCTCCGTGAAAGAAATCCAAACATGTTACATCTATCATCCGCGTATGTCTTTTATCAAAAAAAAAGTCAAAATCAATGGAAAACATCTCATAATAATGACACTCAACAAAAGAAATAGAAAACAACTTCTCAAAATTTTGTTTTACAAAAAGAATGGATATTAAGGATTTTGTACATTTTAAATGACTCCACCTGGGCGAATCTCATAGTTGCAAGGTCATTCCTTGTTGACTTAGAATCATACAGCATGAAGTCACCATCAAGTAAAATCATCAGGACTATGTGTGACATCAATTACGCATCATGTAATCCTCATCAAGAACAATTATATTGATTACATAAGCGTCATGTAATCATCATCAAGAACAATCAAATTGATTAAATTAAATGTGCCATTATGTAATTATCATTAAATATTTATCATCATGATTCATCAAATTGTCTATATGATATAATGTGCCATATCATGAATATTATTATACATTTTATGGACATATATATATGTATATGTATATGTCTGTGAATCATTCTACAATTCTAGCGTGGTACCACTCAACGGTTTCGCTGAGCATGTAGTTTGTATTTTTCGTTGACTACACGTAGGTAACAAAAAGACAATGATGGAACCATTCCCGGAGGGCATTGAGTCAGAGGAGATGCAAGGATGGCAGGCAAATGTTTGATCATCAGATTTTAAAATGTGTCATGATTTGATTATTATTGTACTTCCGCATTACTCTGAAAATATTTTTAAATGGGTCGCGATCCAGAGTCTGTAAATTTAATATTTATAAGAAATTGTCATTTTCAAATGTCAAGCGAAATTTTTATTTATCTCTCGTTTCACCTTAATTTGTGTAATTCTGGGTTATACGGATTGGGGTGTTACATGCCCCTTATACAAAATTTTAATTAAAAAATTTAAAAAAACAAATGCATTGCATAATGGAGCATAATTTTTTACGCAATGAAGAACAAAAGCACGGTATATATTGCATAATCCACTCAAAAATTCGAGTTCAAGCAAATACATTATGATGAAGGGAAAGTTCTAAAAATTTCCCCCCTAAACAAAAACAAAATCTTCCCACCAAATCCTATTCTATATAAATAACCCAACACATTCCACTCTTATAAAGGCAATCGCTAGTCCACTTTTGCACCTTCTCCTTATCATCCAAGATGTCTGCTCCTTGTCATGAACCTCCTCTTGCGACTGTCCCTGCTACTTCCGTTCTTAGTACTGTTGCTGCCCTCCCTGTTATATATTTTAGTGTAATTGGAAAAACTATGACCAATGGTATCCTAATAATCATCAACGAAGTTTGGTGGTGCGGAGTGCACGCTTCATTGAGTTTGTTACGATAAAAATCCCGTCACATCAGGGGTTCCAAGGGGGCAGCGCCCCCTTGGCGGGGGTTCGGGGGTAGCGCCCCCGATCAGGGTTCAAGGGGCGGCAGCCCCTGCGGGGTCCAAGGGGCAGAGCCATTTTTTATTTTGGGCAAGGCGCTATGTTAAAAAATTCAATTGGAATTTTATTTTTCGGATTTTCTTTAAAAGAAAACCTCCGATTGGATAGCACCGAATCTTGGAGAACTTCCGCGCGAAGGATCGCGTAACTTGGGAAAGAGACGCGATAGGCGTCTTCTCCCTCTGCCGCAAGTTTATAAATTCCCGCAGGCCTTGGTCGGATTTCAGTTCGGATTTTTCATAGCAATTCTCATATTTCGTTCTTGATACTTTCGCGTTTTATCCGATTGAATTTTGGAGTGAACAACCAAAATATTCAATCTGAAAGTGTTTACACAACTCTCGATTCATCCAAGTTATCGTTAATTTCCCCAATACTCCCTGCGTTGCTGCTCCCACTATCCCTCACCCAGGCAAAGACGAGGACCAGCAAAGACAACACACGTCATGTAGCACAAGACGTCATGACTATCAAACTTGCAAAGACAAAGAATTGTAGAATTAATCCTACCATATGCAAAAATATTCATTTCTACCTCTTTCCCATTCTTTCTTGGGTTTTCAACTTGAGGACAAGTTGATTTTCGAGACGGGAAGAGTGTTACGGAACTATATTTACCATTGTTGTTGTTGTTGAAGTTATTATTATTATTATTATATTATTATTATTATAGAACTAATTATAATTAGTAATTATATTATTAATATCATTACGTAGTATTATTATTTATGGTTAGTTATATATTACTCCGTATGAGATAGATGGAGTATATATTAATTTTTTATTTCAAACACATAGAATTTTAAAAAAATTTAAAAAATAAAAAATTTAAAAGAAATTTTAAAAAAAATTCTATAGGAAAAGGAAACAAAGAAATAAAAAAGTTAAATGCGTAAAAATTTAAAAAAATTATTACACCACTACTATGGACAAGAAAAAAATCATCAAAGTAAATGCGTAAGAAGAATAAATTAAGATAAAAATGGAATTCATCTTAAATTTGTCTATGAATGATAGGTCATACAATCTAAATTTATATGTGCAGTGTTATTTATATATTCGTGAAATGTACATTTATAAGTTACACAATGCTCAAGTCACACACATTTAGGTTTTCTACATTCTTTGTGCAACGTACATTATAAAAGCAGCGTTAATTTCATCATTGTTAAACAAACTTTGTTCTGTTGCATTTTCAAAAATAATAATAAATTGTTTTGTTGCTAAACAAGCAAAAAGAAAAAGAGTAATCACACCAAAAAAACTTGTTTTGTTGCTAACGAAAAAGTGAATTTGCACTAAAACTTTTTTATTCCCTAAATAATACGTATTTAATAATGTCTAGTGAGAAGAATAATGTCCAGTGATGGTACGGTGGACATTTACTTGAATAATTAACGACTAATGGATAAAGACCAATTATCTTACATTGGGAAATAAAAATATATAATTCTACATTGAAAAAGTCATTATATTTTAGTCCAATTTAGGTAAATTTCCCCACGAAAAATGCATCGTTAGATAATAAAAAATTCCTCATGCATCGCACGGATTAGAATCTAGTGAAGTAAACAAATCTCAACATACATTAATATGGGACACAAAGGAAGTAAAGAATGAAAGAGAGCAAAAACAAGGAGAGAATAATTTTCATAAAAAAAGAGAGAATAATATCTAAGTGACCAGACGATGGAGTTACTGATCCACTCCCAGCAACCGCATTCGCTAAATCAACGTGGCTAAAACCGTATTTTTTAAATAGTAATAATAATAATAATAATAATAATAATAATAATAATAATAATAATAATAATAATAATAATAATAATAATAATAATAATAATAATAATAATAATAAAAAAAAAAAAAAAAAAAAAAAAAAATAGTACTCCCTGTGTTTGGGAAAACCCTTTCGTTTTGAGCAAAGATCAAATTTAGGAAGTATTAAAATATATAGTAATTGACTTCCAATTTTGTTTACCATATGATTGACAAAAGTAAATTGTGATGGATAAATTATTAAAGAAAAAGTATGATGTAATAGATATGGTAAAAAAATAGGATTAAAAGTAATTTCTAATAGAAAATGAAAATATATGTATTGATGGAAGAGAAAAAATGAAATAGGGAGTGTTTTGTTGTGGGGAAAGAGTTATACTAGTACTCCGTATATAAGTGTGTGTGAGCGCGTGCTAAAAAGGGTGGGGGGTGTGTGTGTGTGTGGGCCCTTTGAGGCACATGCAGTTTAGTCGTAGTCGTCGTCTTCATCGTCATCGTCATCGTCATCGTCATCGTCATCCGAAGGATATGAACTTGAGGGAGGGGAGGGAGTTCGGGGAGGGGATCCGTCGGGAAGGGGGGGCCTCCAGTCCTCATCGTCCTCGTTGCATTCATTGTTAGGGGGGTTATCATAATCTTCATCCACTTCGTCGTGTGAGTCGTACCCCGATTCATTCGAATCGCTATCCGGGCGGGCCCGGCCACGGAACGCGTAATCGTGGCGCGTGAAATCGTACTCATCGCTATCCGTTGGATCGGCGCTCTCTTCGCCGCCATCGTCGTCGTCGCCGCCACCTGCATCGTCGTCTTCATAGTCGGTTTGGTTTCCTTCATGATCGTCGTCGTCACTGTTGTCACTACATTTCCGGCATGAGTCCTTCTCATCATCATCACAATTATCCCCTGCTCCACGCAGAGAGTAGTTGCTCTTCATTATTATTGAGGCGGCCGGGTCGCCGCTAGTTACAACCACCATTTTTTTATCCCTTCAAAATTAGAGTACAATAATGAAATGATGGGAATTACTCGCGCGCTCGGAAATACGGAGTAGTTAACAGGGTATTGTGCAGTTTTGACCCAAACGGATTACCCACTGGCTATATTTATAGCTAGAGATAACTGCATTTTGGACCAAATATGATCGGTACCTAGAGTCTTTTTGAAATGTCTCTTTTATCTTTTTCCGACAAAAAATGAGGCATTGGTGCCTGCTTTTCAAATCATATGGGGCACCCGTGTTCATTCCTTATTTTTCGTTTGTTTTTCCCTTTATTCGTTTATTCTATTAATCAAGGTTTTTAGAATTGTTTGTATAATGTTTTTAAATTTTAAAATTATTTTTGTTTGAAAAAAAAGTAACATATACTGCATCCATACATCCCTATTAAAAAAAGTAAATACTTTTTTTTTTCAGAACTTCAAAAATGGTGAACAAAATAAGAAATAAAATAAAACAAAAAATAAAAATGAATATCCTTGTTGGACATTGTTATGGAACTAATTATTCTTAGTAATTATTACTCCCTCCGTCCTAAATTCGGCTTCCCACGTTGACTTTATGCCATTTTTAAGGGCTTCATTTTTTACCTTTGACTTCCCATTTTGCCCCTTATACAAAATTTTAATTAAAAAATTTAAAAAAACAAATGCATTGCATAATGGAGCATAATTTTTTACGCAATGAAGAACAAAAGCACGGTATATATTGCATAATCCACAGTAGCCGCGGAAATCCTCTAGGGTTTTGGCTCTGACACCATGAAAGAATTATTTGGGAGGAAATTTTCTGTATCACTTTCTTGTCTGCACAATTTACAATGAGGACCTATATATAGGATCTCACAAGTTGAGATTCCTAATCAGTAAAGGAAAAGGAAAGAATCCATATACAAGGAAAACTACCAAAACAATATATACACAAATATCTCCAAATATTCTACCAAATATTCTCTTTCCTTTAACACCCCCCCTCAAGTTGGAGCATGTAGTAACGAAATGCCCAACTTGGGTAGAAGAAACTCCAAACGAGACTTTCCGAGTGCCTTTGTATGAATATTTGCAAGCTGATGCGTAGTAGGCACATGAAGTGTACAAATCTCTCCTCGCAATAGCTCATCACGAACGAAGTGACAATCAATCTCAATGTGCTTCGTGCGTTCGTGGAAAACCGGATTAGCAGCAATGTGAAGAGCTGTTGTGCTGTCGCACCGGACCGTCATGGGGTTCTTATGCTCAACCCCTAAACACCGCAATACATTCTTCAACCACTTCAATTCACATGTAAGGACAGCCAAAGCTCTATACTCTGCTTCAGCAGACGAGCGAGCCACCGTCGACTGCTTCTTTGTTTTCCATGAGACAGGCGAGTCTCCAAGCTGCACAAATTAAACCACCCTGTCAATGACCGCCTTGTCAAAGGACATGCTGCCCAGTCCGAATCACACCATCCTGTGAGTTGAAGACTACTCTCTGCTGACAGAAAAATACCCTGACCCGGACATCCCTTCAAATAACGAACAACTCTAAGGGCCGCAGCCCACTGATCCTCCCTTGGTTCCTTCAAAAACTGTGCTAAAGTGTGGACGAAGTAAGACAGTTCTGGTCGTGTAACGGAGAGATAGACCAATCTTCCTACCAACCGTCGATATGGTTCTGGATCTGCAAGAACCGGGGCTTGGGAACGAGCCAAGTGATGATTTGGCTCCATCGGGGCACCCAATGGTCTCACCCCTAACAACCCTGCCTCAGTGATTATATCTAAGGCGTACTTTCGTTGGCATAGAAAAATCCCAGACGTGCTCCTCGCTACCTCAATGCCAAGAAAGTATTTCAGTGTTCCCAAGTCCTTCATATGAAAACAATCTCCGAGATAAGCTTTGAACTTGCTTACCATCTCTGTATTATCTCCAGCAATAATCAAATCATCAACATAAACCAACACATGTATGACTCCTTTCTTTCCAACAAAAGAAAATAAGGAGTAATCAGCAACAGATTGAACAAACCCATAGCGTTTCAAGGCTCCAGAAAACTTGGCAAACCAACACCGTGGAGCTTGCTTTAAGCCATACAGAGACTTCTTGAGTTTACACACCACATTAGACGAATTTGAGAAACCAGGCGGCAATCTCATATACACCTCATCCTGAAGATCTCCGTGTAGAAATGCATTATGAACATCCATCTGATGCAATTCCCACCCCTTAACTGCTGCAATTGCCAAAAGCGTTCTCACAGTGGTCAACTTGACTACGGGAGCAAATGTTTCCTTGTAGTCAAGTCCTTCAACCTGATGATTGCCAAGTATAACAAGTCTGGCCTTATATCTCTCCACACTTCCATCGGACTTGCGCTTGATCTTATATACCCATTTGCAACCAAGGGGCTTTTTATGGCGTGGAGGAGAGACAAGAGACCACGTCCCATTAGCCTCCAGTGCATCAATCTCCTCTCTCATAGCCTTCCTCCATCGTTCATCTTGGAATGCCTTCTTGAAACTTGTGGGCTCCACTCCAGCATCAAGTGCGCTGAGAAAACACTTGTGTCTGTCAGAGAACTTCTCTTGCGTGACATACGAGGCAAGAGGATATTTGCATTTTTCTCCAACATGTGAACCAGCTACATGGGTAACATAATCGGCAAGGCGTACATTTGGATGTTTCTCACGCTGACCACGTCCCAAGTTCTCCATCGCCTGCTCGGAAGAGGACGGTCGACCGCCGTCCGTGGAACGGTCCACGGGGTCGACCGTCTGAAGCTGTTCTGGATCGCTAGCATTCTGCCTCGGAGACGGTCGACCGTTCTCCTCTTCACGGTCGACCGTTTCATCATCCCTCTGGAGCCCATCTTTCTGCCCTTCAGACGGTCGACCGTGGTCAATAGAACGGCCCACCACGTCGACCGTTGGTTGCACTCCCAGAGGTCCGTCTTTCTGCCTTTCGGACGGTCGACCGTGGTCATCAGGACGGTCCACCAGGTCGACCGTTTGTAGCTTGTCTGCCACACTGGTCTCCTCCTGTCGACCGTTCCTCGTGGAACGGTCCAGCCGTTCTTCCGCCGGCATCTCTTCATCATTTTCGAAGTGATCGATCGAAGGGGAACTACTCGATCCACTCTCATCTGGGATTTCACCTGCGGAAATCAAGTAAGGAAAAATGTTTTCACAAAACACAACATCCCGTGACACACTGATCTTCCCAGTGTCCGGGAAATACACACGCCAACCCTTCTTTCCTTGTGGGTATCCCAAAAATATTCCAGGAGTACTTATGGGTGCAAATTTATCTCCATCTCTCTTGTGTACATAACATCTGCAACCGAAAACACGTATGTGAACCCTTGTAGGAGCCGTCCCATAAAGCTTCTCGTACGGTGTAACCCCCCTAGCAAAGAAGAGGGTGTGCGATTGATCAAATATGCCGCAGTTTGTATACAATCTCCCCAAAATTCAATAGGAAGCCCTGCCTGAAATCTTAGAGCTCGACCCACGTTGAGAACATGACGATGTTTACGCTCTACTCTTCCATTCTGCTGCGGTGTAAACACACAAGATGTCTCACGAATAATTCCTTAGCTTGTTCCAGAAAATATTCATTCAAGCATTCGAATTCTGTGCCATTGTCACTACGAACACACTTATTTTCTTCCCAAACTGACGTTCAACCATGGCACAAAATTATTTAAAAACACTTCCTACTCTCCGCTTAGAATCAAGCAAATGTACCCACACGCCTCGAGAAAAGTCATCCACAATAGTTAAAAATATGGTAGAACCATTCAAACTCGGCGTTTGATAAGGACCCCATAAATCACAATGCACCATATCAAATATATCCAAAGATTGATGAAAACTGATGGGAAAACTAGCACGTGTTTGTTTAGCACGTAAACAGACATCACAATGACTATGACCACTTTTATTTGGACCAACTCCGGGAACTAAAGACAAAACATGCGAAGAGGGATGTCCTAGACGCTTGTGTCAAAGATCAAAAGAATTCACCTTCTTAGCACTGCACGCCATGCTTTTTTCATCCTTCATCAAATAGTACAATCCTCCTTCATGTCTCCCTACACCAATCGCAGTCCTCAAATTTTTGTCCTGTAATATGCACGCATCATTGGTGAACTTTGCCTCACAATTCAAATCTCTCGTCAGCTGTGAGACAGAGATCAAATGGCACTTCAAATTTGGAACAAACAACACACTCTGTAAAGTTAAATTCCTTGTCAAATCAACTTTTCCAGATTGAACAGACACTACCCGTTTTCCATCGGGTAATCCAATTTCACATGGAGTTCTACCCACCACATCATACAATAACGAAAAATCACCCGTCATATGATTTGATGCTCCCGTATCAATAATCCAGCGTGGTGACACAAAAATACCTGTAAGTTTCTGATTAATGTCTGTAGGGGACAGCGCAAGGGCGTGACGAACAACGTTCCACTGTTCCATAGTCAGATCCTCGAAATTGGGCAACGGCGAATATCCCTTTTTCTCTTCTTTCTCATTCTTGTTGAGAGTAATCTTCATGGATGCCTCTTCAGACGACACGGGCTAATAATAGATCGAACAACTGCATCAATTGAAGAAACTGCCGTCAGGACGGTCGACTCCTTCGACCGTTCCTCTCCGACGGTCGACCGTTCCGGTCTTTCGGCAACAACACCAAGTGACGATCGCTGGACGCGATGCCGGGCGATCGTCCACAGTAGCCGCGGAAATCCTCTAGGGTTTTGGCTCTGATGCCATGAAAGAATTATTTGGGAGGAAATTTTCTGTATCACTTTCTTGTCTGCACAATTTACAATGAGGACCTATATATAGGATCTCACAAGTTGAGATTCTTAATCAGTAAAGGAAAAGGAAAAGGAAAGAATCCCTATACAAGGAAAACTACCAAAACAATATATACACAAATATCTCCAAATATTCTACCAAATATTCTCTTTCCTTTAACAGTTTTCCACATTCTTTGTGCAACGTACATTATAAAAGCAGCGTTAATTTCATCATTGTTAAACAAACTTTGTTCTGTTGCATTTTCAAAAATAATAATAAATTGTTTTGTTGCTAAACAAGCAAAAAGAAAAAGAGTAATCACACCAAAAAAACTTGTTTTGTTGCTAACGAAAAAGTAAATTTGCACTAAAACTTTTTTATTCCCTAAATAATACGTATTTAATAATGTCTAGTGAGAAGAATAATGTCCAGTGATGGTACGGTGGACATTTACTTGAATAATTAACGACTAATGGATAATGACCAATTATCTTACATTGGGAAATAAAAATATATATGATTCTACATTGAAAAAATCATTACATTTTAGTCCAATTTAGGTAAATTTCCCCACGAAAAATGCATCGTACGTTATTATAAAAGTTATAAATTATAATTGTAAATATATACTTCTTCCGTCCGAAAAAAATACTCATAGTTAATATTCTTAGGTCAAACTAACTCTACTTTCTTTATACATTTTTATCACCATTTGTTTTGTAGAAATTTTTTAGTTTTTTAGTATCTAGTTTCTACTTTTTAATTCTATACTAGTTTTTACTTGGGTAAAGGAGCAATATAAGAGTAAAACATTGATAAAATTTTAAAATAGGAATTGAAAGATAAAACCCCAAAATAGGAGTTGCTCACTCAAACATAAAATCCTAAATCAATTGAAAAGGATGAGAGCCTTATTAGTTTACCTTTAATGCTGACTAACTTGGCAATCCAGTAGCAACATAACGCAGCCTTTACATATATTGGGGTAAAAATTGTGAGTTCAATAGCCACCAACTATCTACATATATATTAAGTAAATTTACCTTATTTTATTAGTGTTTAGAATTTAGTTCTTAAACCAAACGCATTGCATTCATAATTGTGATTAACACTTGTGTTTTCTATATCTTCGTTGATGGCGGCCATTCGCGAGCAAGGTGACGGTGGCTGGTGGAGGATTATCGGGAAATTCTACTCATGGCTAGACGGCTTTCTCCACCACAATGCCACATTAACTATCCAGTGTTAATTAAGGACATAATGCCAAAGATGACAACATATACTGCCACACAAAATTGCACAATGACAATCATGCTAATGTATTAAGTCATGCATATATGTGAATGTATAATGTCAAATGAAAATCATGTTAATGTATTAAGTCACATATATAAGTGCATAATGTCAATCAAAGGCATAATGCCAAACATGGCAATGCATTCCGTCATATATGACAATGTATAATGACAAACATGTTAACATATAATCTAACAAATGATAATGCAGAATGTTAAAAAGAGAAATTCCAAGAAACTACTCCCTCCGTCCTGGGGTATTCGTCCAGTTTTGACTTTTGGAACTGTTCATTTAAGCACTTTGACTCATCAAATTCTCTCAAAGTATAAGCCTAAATATAGTCATGTGTGATCTTGTTTGATTTGTCTTAACATATAGATTATTAATATATAATTTCTTTAATTTTTTAATATACAAATCACAAAATAAAATGGATTAAAGAAGTGTATTGGATGGTGTGTAGAAATGAAAGTGGACAAATACCCTGGGAAGGAGGTAGTATATATTTTACCAAAGACATAATCATTCAATTCAAACTTCATGTTTTAAACCAACCGTGCCAATTGATTTTTTATTTCAATATCCCCAGTCACACAAACAACAAGATTTTCTATCTATCTACATGGGAAAAAAGTTTAGCAAAATCAACATGGAAATCCAAAAAAAAAATTAATGTTTACATTAAGAATACACTCAACACACAAAAAAATTCCAAGGAAAACTTACAAGCCCAACAAATCTAATCATAGATTAAATAAAAAATCATTCGATCTAAATACAAACCATGAAAAAATTTCCTGAATAAACTAAAAGAGATATGCAAATGTATCAAAAAAGTATAGCAACAAGATGAAATGGAGTGATGGCAAAAGGAACTATGCAAATGTATCCAAAAACTAAAGCAACAGGATGAAATAGGGTGATGGAGGAAGGAAGTGACGGTAATGGCCAAAGAGGGGAGGGGGTGCCATGATGACTATGGTATTTTACTGATCAGGAAGTGGAGGGGATGTGATATTGAATTGAAGTGTAATAATTACTCTTATCTATTAGTAAAAGATTTTAAGTTTGAACTCCTAAGGATATAACACATACTCCCTCCGTTCTCAAAAACTCTTCTTCTTTGAATTTTTTTTATTTCTAACAAAACACTTCCACTATCTATTAAAAAACCACTTTTACCCTTACTTTTTCATACCATACCTATCACATCATACTTTTTCTCTAATACTCAATCCATCACATCTTACTTTTACCCATCACATCAAGGGTAAATTGGAAGTCAACTCTAATTTAATACTTCCTTATTTTTATACAAAGTCAAAATAGGAATACTTTTATAGAACGGAGGGAGTATTTTACTTTTATTTAGGCTGTTTTCTTTTTTACTTACACTCATATTAAAATAGTTTTAAGATGAAGGGAGTATTAAATTTATATGAGGATTTAATATATATTTTTTCCATAATTTATGACCAAAATACAAATGGTAAGATTGTAGGGTTTATATCCAAATTATTTACAATTTTAGCATAACTCTCTGTTAAATTATTTGTGACTCTAACATTTGGAATATTAGCACTCCTCCAAAAGGAAACGCACAATGACCATTGGACTTTCCTTGCAAATCGCAATTGCTTACGCATTTGCTAATTCATTAAGGAGAAAGAAAAAGTGACATTAAGAATATTAGCACTCCTCTTCCAAAAGAAAACACACAAATGACCATTGGACTTCCCTTGCAAATCGCAATTGCTTACGCATTTTTTAATTCATTACTCCGAAACATTTTCGGCATCTTTAATGCGCCGTTAAGTATCCTCCGGCGTCTTTGTCAATGCATTAACATTACTTGTCAATGGAGCAATGACATTAACACCCTCTTTGAATATATTTTTTTAGGAATGAAAGAAAATAAGAGAAGAAAATTTGGGAGATTAAGAAAATACGGAGTACTATTTTTCCTCTTGTTTGGATATGTTAGGATGGAATGTAAATAAATTTATTTTACTTCTTAATCAATATAGTGAACGTAATTTTTTGTTGAGATAAAGTAAAACTAATTAAACTTTCTTCCTTTTTTAAGAGAAAAAGTAATGAAGAAAAATAAATAAATATTTTCCATCACCCCTTATTTTCCTTCACCTTTTCAAACACAGACATTATATTCACTCACCTCATTATTTTCTATTCTTTATTTTCTTTCCATCTTTATTTAATTTTCCTTTTTTCTAAACAAAGGGTAAAAGTACGCAATTGCTTACATATTTGTTAATTCAATAACATTTTCGGCGTCTCCAATTCCTTGCCAGTTGCCACTACTTCAACATATATGAGATTTCTTATTTCTTTTTTTCAACATCCCAAAAAAGCCCTTTTTTCCTTTTTCTGAAAAAGTTTGAGTGGCTTACAATTTTTTTTTCTCTGCATCATTTTTAACCATACATTTTCACTTTTCTTAAATTGTGTGTCAAGTCAGACCAAGGGTAATAATTGGTTTGAAATCAATTAGTAAGTTGTATTATAGAAAAGAGATCTTCATTTTTATGGTAATATTTTTTCCTAATTCTTTTTCAAATAAAAAATATCAAGAATTAAAGACGGATTAATAAATAAGATACTCTCTTCACATCTAAATAAATTTCACATTTCTTTGTGAAGAAACGCCTCTAGATATGAGTAAAATATAATCAAAATAACAAAATAGTAGTGTGGCGTTATATATGTCTAACATTATTGTTGTATAAAGCAAATCTATTGCCTCTTGATCAGCTACTGATTATCTAAGTTTAGTGAGAATCAACCCTTTAAAGAGGAGGCATACCATTATAAAAGATAAGATTATAGGATCAAAAAATGCACTGTTTTCGTACATGTAAAAATTTTCACAATTACAATTTTTTGGAATATGAATGCACAAACAAAATAAGGTACTCATGATAACAAATACCGAGTACATCATAAGCATTTTCACAATTACAATTTTTTTCTAAAACAAAAGAAATTAATTAAAAGAATATCGAAAATGTAATATCCACTTATGATTATGTTACAAGGAAGTTTAAAAAAGATTTGTTTTCCACTGAATAACCAGGAGTAATATGGAATATTTTACTCAAAAATTAAAATTTTCAATTTATCTGTTAAGGTGATGAATGAACTAAATCAGATTTCCCAACCCAATTTGCCCCATGGCCCATCGAAATTTGCGTAACTACGCCCAAAAAACTGGCCTATTACTATGTGGTTAGGCCCAGAACTTTAGGTCGGGAAAAATCTTGATGCTTTTGTAAATAGGTAGATATCTAATTGAACTTAGTTTTGATTCTACTTATTTAAGTATGGTGGATAGGATATTTTTTTTTTGAACAAAGCACAAAAATATATTAACTCCAAAGAACAGTTTCCAATACAACAAAAACGAAACACACAATAACAAGAACTAACACCTAACACCAGCATACAACGTGAAAACATAGACTAGTTACCCATAATAATATTGAAGTGTTCTTTAATAGTCTTCAACGTGTCCACCACAGTCATCTCCTTGTTGTGAAGCTTGGAGTTTCATCGAAAGGTTTACTTCATTGTTGTCCATTGTTGTGTTCGTCGTTAACGGGAGGACAGAGAAGACAAAGAAGGGAATAAGTAAGAGACAGGATCGAGTCGTTACCTTAATCGAAGGTACAGTATGACCTATTAGTATCTGTATACGACCTTTTATTACTTTGCAAAAGGACAGCTGCAAAATAGATGGTCAGCAGTCTCATCCATCTTGTTGCATAGGCTACAGATTGTATCAATTGGTAAAAACCTACTTAGCCTGTCCTTAGTAAGTATTCTACCCTTCCAAATCAGCCATGCTATAAATTGATGTTTAGGTATGGAGAATCTGTTCCAAACCAGATCAGCCCAAATCACATTAGTTTGGGATCCAGTAAGCCATTTGTATCCTTCCTTGACGATATACCCCTGGTCTATGATCATTCCATCAAAATCTTTTCTGATCTGGATCATTTTCTTCCAATAATAACAGTCATCAGCCTTACATTCATAAGTCCAAATAGTTTTCCTCTTCAGATATCGACTATGTACCCATTTAACCCACAAAATATCTTTCTTGTATCAATATTAAATATAATTAGAGTAATATATTTACAAAGGACAATGAACTTATAGCCTCCGTTTGGTAAATCAAATTGATGGTTCCTACACACCTAACTATCATGCACTCCCTACCTTCTCCTCCCCCATGTTGGTGATTTTAGTGTCATCAATTTATTTTGTGTAATTGGATTTACTTTGATCGGACAAGAATTTAAATAGACGTTGTCAAACGAGTTAGGAGGTGCGGAGTGCGCGCTCGTTCAACGATATTATAAATTCACTGCGGGGGTCCGGGGGCGGTAGCCCCCGGATAGCGGGGTCCAAGGGGCAGAGAATCGTGGTCCAAGGGGCGGCAGCCCCTGGCACGAATGTTCATGTCCGATCACAAGGATTTTCGACTCTATAAAATAGAGTCTCGTGGTATGGGTTGAGAGACAGATTCTCGAGTGCTTGTTCTGAATTAACGTCTTATCCGATTGAAGTATTTCGTATACCCCGAAATAACTTTGATCTGAAAGCGTTTCGTACGCAATTCGTTATTCTATCGAGTTCTTCATTTAACACTGCTTCGCAGTGTTCTTCATATTCTAATCCCAACAAAGATCAAAGTTATTCCTAAAGAACTCAAAGATGACGTGTGGCGATTCTGTAAGAGATTTGAGCAGCAAGTTCTCGAAGTTAGAAAAGTTCGAAGGCCAGGACTTCCGTAGATGGCAGAAGAAGATGCACTTCCTTCTCACAACATTGAAGGTCGTGTATGTACTGAGCACGCCTATGCCGCAGATAATGGATGATGACACACTGGAACAGACAAGGAAGCGGTGCAAGTGGGAGAACGATGACTACATTTGTCGAGGACATATTCTAAACGGTATGTCTGACTCTCTGTTTGATGTATATCAAAATGTTGAATCTGCAAAGTTACTGTGGGATGGTCTAGAAGAAAAGTACATGGCCGAGGATGCTTCGAGCAAGAAGTTCCTCGTTAGTAACTTCAACAATTATAAGATGGTCGACTCTCGACCGGTCATGGAACAATACAATGAACTGTTGAGGATCCTAGGCCAGTTTGCACAGCATAACATGGCAATGGATGAATCCATATCTGTGTCTAGTATCATAGACAAACTGCCTCCTTCGTGGAAAGAATGCAAACGTGAGTTAAAGCATAACAAGGAGGAAATGAATCTGGTGCCACTTGGAACCCATCTTCGGATTGAGGAGTCCATCCGAGATCAAGAGGGAAAGAAGGTGAAGGACATAGCCGGTCCATCGTCCATCAACATGGTCGAAGACGAAGGTTTCACCAAAGTGAAGAATAAGTCTAAGGGTAAAAAGCGCAAGTCCGGAAATACACCCAAACCTGCAAATAAAAAGGCTAAAATGGGTTGTTGGAA